CATTTTGTTGAGGATTGCTCTTACTTATTCCTTAAATGTTTGAGAAAGTCTCCAGTAACTCCAAGTGCACACAGAATTTTGTTTGTCCAATATTTTTAAGTTTAGAATCTTTACTAGATATAGAGTTATTTCATTTTTTATTTATTTACTCTTTTTTTTTTTTTTTTTCCAGAAATCGAATTTAGGACCTTGCGCTTGCAAGGCAGGTGCGGTGCCATTGAGCTAAATCCTTGGCTCCTTATTCATTGTTTTGTTTTGGTTTTTTTGGTACCAGGGACCAAACTCGGGATCTTGCACTTGTGAGGCAGGCTGCAGCACTCATCCCTGGCCCCCTGGCCCCCTTTATTCACTCTTATGGCAGTTCGGTAAACTGTGTCTTTCAGAAATTTGTCTCTCTTACCGAGGTTATTAAGTTGATTGGCATAGAAATGTTTATATTTATTATTGTTGACACTTTTATTTTTGGTACCGCGGATCAAACTCAGGTTCTTGCCAGGTAGGTGGCAGAACCACTGAGCCAAATCTCCGGCCCTATATTTATTATTAATTGAAGTTTCCACTTGCATTCCTGATATTGATAATTTTTTCTTTTACCTTTTATTTTTAGTTAAGGATTTGTCAATTTTATTGTCTTCATTCAAAAAACTGTCTTTGGGTTTTATTGATTTTTCTCTTTTTTTTTCCTTCATAAAAATTTTTTGTTGACTTCTGTTTTAAGCACATTATTTCCTTCCATTTACTTAGTAAATAATTCAGCCTTTTCTAAATCCGTCAGATGAATTTCAATAGTCATTATTAGTGTATTTTTAGTTTTTCAATATAAAAATTTGAAATTCTAGATTTTCAACTTATAAAAACTTTAATTTTTAAACTTTATTTGGCTAAAGAAAGTGTTATTTAGTTTGCTGTGTGATTTCCTCTATAATCCTTAGACTATTAAAACTGTTACTTAATTCTTTAAATGCTTGAAGAGTTTTGAAGATATTAATTTGTTATTGATTCCTAGCTTAATTAAATTTTTTTGTGGAGAATTTACTCTGCAGAATGTCAATCCTTTTAAAAATTCACTGAGACAGATTTCACTTTTTGGTACATAGTCTATTTAGGTAAATATTCCGTATCCATCTAAAATAGTATCATTTCATCATTGTTAGCAGTAATAATGTTCTATAGTCAATTAGATTTATAGCTTGCTCAGGTTTTATGTGTCAGTGTTGATTGTCTGCTGTTCTGTGAAATCCTGACAGAAAATAGTTATCATCAGCAGCTCTATTCGTGGAATTGCCTAGTTCTACCTTCAGTTTTTGCTTTATATGTTTTGAGCCTTATTTCTTAGGTATATTTGCATTTAGTACTTTTATTTATTCTTGATTAATTCATGAATTTCTTACCAGGAAGTGTTCTTCTTTATATCTGATGCTATTCCTTGTACTAAAACTTAATTCAGTAAATTTAACCCATTTAGCATTTTTATCATTACCGTAAACATGGCCATCTTTTAATTTTAAACTACTTATGTCTTTATATTAACAGTGCTTTTTAAAATAGATACCTTGTAGTTAAACCTTGTGGATTTTGCCACTCTGTCATTCTCTGCTTTTTAATTGGAATATACAGACTGTTTACTTCTAATGTATTACCACTATGTTTGGATTTATGTTTTACCATTTCCCTTTTTGGTTTTGAGTTTATTCCTTTTATTTTCCATCTTTTCTGCCTAGATGTTTAGTGAATACTTTTCTGCATTTAATTTTATAAACTATATTGTTTTTTTAGCTAAAGTTTAAAATTTTTTCTACTATTTATAATTTATGATATACATCCTGAATTTCACCTTACATTTTATCTTCATATAATACTGTACTACTTCATACATGATTTAAGAAACTAGGAAGTCTTTTTTTTTTTTTTCCTGGTACTGGGGCTCGAACTCAGGACCTTGCACTTGCAAAACAGGTGCCAGAAACACTGAGCTAAATCCCCAGTCCCATGATTTAAGAAACTTAACAATAGGATGTGTATGTATCTTACCATTATTCTTAGGCTATGACTATCATGTTTTATTTCTATATATATGCCATGAACTGTATGATATATTATTGCTTTTGACTTTAAACAGTCAATAATGAGTCTTTCATATTTACCCAATATATTTCTTAATCCCAGGGTTCTTAATTCTCTTACATAGATCTTATTTTCATGTAGATTTATTTTCCTTTAGCCCAAATAACATTATCATCTTTTTAGTATCACAAATGTTCTACTGATGAATGTCTCTAATTTTGTGTTCATGAAAGTATTTTTTTTCCTCATTGAGTTTATTGGTACATTTTAGGTTTACAGCACAGTTACATTCATTATTGGGATCCTGTACCTTCACGTGACAGGTCTTGGTTCTCATTTTTTCCCCTTGTCCCTGCCCTCCCTTCATCCCCTCCTCCCCTCCCCATTTACAAACACTTTATTTCCATTTTTTCATTTTCTCATATATTTTTTCTTTTCCCTTATTCCCTTTCCCCTACCCTTCCCACTTTCCCTACACCTTTAGCCCTTTTCTTCCTATTTCACATTGTCAATCATGAAAGTAGTTTTGTTTTTATTTTTCATGAATATGCTCAGTGCATATAAACCTCTCAGGTGACATATTTTTCTTTAATCGAGGTTGTATGGTTGATTATGATGTGCCTCAGTTCAGTTTTGTTTGTATATTTTCTTGCTTAGGGCTTGGTGAAGTTCTATAATATGTGTGTTTTGAGTTTTCATCAAATTTGGGAACATTTCAACTCCATGTTTCTTTTCTTTTTCTTTTTCTTTTTTTTTTTGTGCTGGGCATGAACTCAGGCCTTGAGCTTGCGAGCAGGCGGTGGCACCACTGAGCTAAATCCCTGGCCTCTGTTCTTAAATAAATAAATAAATATATATGTGTGTGTGTGTGTGTGTGTGTGTGTGTGTGTGTGTGTTCTTCTCTGGTTTTTGTTTAAGGCTCTAAATCTTTTAACACTGTCTCACAGTTAACAAAAGTTCTGTTAATGTTTCTATGCCTCATCCTCGTTTTCCTTCAGCATGAACAATTCCTATAGCTGCGCTTTCAAGCTTACTGATCCTTTCTTATGCCAGGGTCCAAATGACTGTCAGTCCTGCACAGTGACATTTTCATGTCGAATTTTGTATCTTTAACTTCTATTCCATCTGATTCTTTTATATCTCCCTTTTCTCTCTTATTTATTTGCATGTTTGTTATTTAAATTCTTATACATATTTATAGGCATTATTTAAAATCCTTATGTGGCAAGTCTACTGTTTGTTAACTCTGGATCCCGCTTTATTGACAGATGCTTTTCCTAAGTGTCAAATTTCATTCTTCACTTGTGCAGTAATTTTTATTGGATATTAAACATTGTCAATGTTATGTTGGTGAGATTTTATTGCTTTCCAGTATTGTCTTAAGACATAGTTGAGTAATTTGTTAGTAAATGTACTTCCTTTTAGGTTTTATTTTATAAGTTTTGTTATATGGGTTTCAATGGCCTTTACTCTTACTAGTTTAACCCTGTTAAAACATGACTTTTCTAGGTCCTCTAGTGACTGTCCATTAATTCAGTGAGGTCTCTTTATTCTAGCTGGCTGGAAGATGAATCTGTAAAAGCTCTTTATAAGATTTGGGTTTAATATACAGATCTGTGAGCTATTTTTAGTTTGAACCTGAAGAGTTTCACTATATACATCACAGTATAAAATTCAGACAGAGACCCAAGTGGACTGTGTGCAGATTTATCAGTTTTTCCTTTGCTTAATGTCTTAATTTCTTATACTCTGGCAAAAAATCATTAGCTTCCTGAGCCTTTTACATTTCTGAATTCAGTCTGATCATCTAAGCCAGACCATTTTGTTTAAGTAAATTCAGTCTCACCCTCTGTTGTGTGGTTTCTAGGAATAGGGCAGTTGTGGAGCTAAGGTTCTTTATTTTTTATTCCTCAAGGGCGACACTCATGTGTGAATTGTCACCCAATTTCTGAAAATCCTTTTTTGGTAAATTTTGTTTTTATTTTATTGTGTATCATAGAAGGGGTTGAAGTAGATGTATAGATTTAAAATTTAAGACATCTCTAGTGTTCCCTAAAACATGAGTACCATAGTTTGAAGTTATACGAAGATTAACTTAATTGGAAATAAGAATCATAGAAAAGAAACCTTTGGAGTGTAAATTTATCATCTTGGCCTTTCATCCTGCAGGAATTTTTCATGCTATAATCATTTTCTTTTTTAGTAAAAAAAAATTTTTTTGGGGGGTCCCAGGGATTGAACTCCAGTCCTTGTGCTTGCGAGGCAGTTGGCGGAACCACTGAGCTAAATCCCCAGCCCACATTATGCTTATTTTCTTTGTAAAGTTTTTCTAAAAATAGTCTTCTATTTTAAGAATAGTAGAGAAAATCTAAAATGAATTCAAGATAGCATGCAAAATTTTCTGAACTTTTGGAATGTGAGATTTGGCTGATCACCTGAAATCATGCTCTCGTCATGAAAAATGCTGAGAAGTATTTTTTTGTATTTCTGAAATCTTTACATAAAGCAATTTGATATTGAAATATAACAATGTACAGAATGTAGACAAAATTTCACTGATTTTTATGTTATAGAACTACAGATTATTTTTTTCTAGAATAATATGTGTATATCAGTCTCTGGGCCAAACATGTTATATGTATGTTGCCAGTCAATTCTCCCCAAAACCATATGTGTTAGGTATTACTATTTCTGATATCTATGTATTCACACCTTTGCATCTTTCTTGGATGACAGAACAAACTCAGACTCTATGATTTTTCTGAGGTATCAAACTACTATGTGGTGTTGCATTTATCCTGTGCTCTTAAACTTTCCAGCCATTTAAAGTAAGAAAGGCAGTTTCATTCACAGAGTACTCAGTTGCTTTTATTATGAGTTTTCCAGTGAACATCGAATCTTTGGAAGTAAGACACACACACACACACACACACACACACACACACACAGAGCTAAAGCTTCTAGGAAAACCTCACTTCTTTGCAAATGACAGTCTAGGAGGCTAAGTTTAGTTTTCAATTAGCAATAATTGTGCCTCGGATAAATCTCACTGACTATGACACTGCCCCCACGCAAAGCTGGGGAAGGGTTAAGTTTAGTCTGTGCTGTTCTTTCTTCTCTGAGAGGATTAATTAGGTTTAAATAAAAATTATTTTTGTAATTAGGTTGACAGTTTTAGGTCTCTTGCATGCTTCAGAGTTAGTAGAAATTCATATCTTCTTCCCCGAATTTGCTATCGTATCAGAAGCCTGGGATCATAATTAAAAATAGAAAAGTCAGATGCCCAGTAGCCCCAGAAGCATGCACCATCATTTGAGCCCTGCAAGTATTGCTATCAGCAGCAGACTGGTGACAGATTCCTCATTTGGCTACAGATTCTAAGGGATACCATCGTTTCCAGCTGCTCCTTTCCTTGCAACCTGATCCTTTCATTTGGAGAAAAATATTGAGGAAGGATTTTGAGGCATTTATGAAAACTGGATAAGGAATTTTAGTATAGTCTACTCCAAGTATGCCCAGAAAGTAAAAATAAGTGATCTTCATGTTCCTTCAGATACTTTAATGAAGTCAAAGCATTGGATCATTGAGTAATCATCATTCCCAAATATGGTGTCCAGGATCTGACCCACTGGACAACTTGTTTTGTTTTTTATTGAATGCCTTTGGATGTATAACATCTTGATATGTGCTTGGGTCTGGTTTGTGGGTTGTTTTCATTTTCAGTGACAGTGAACAAGCTTCTCTGCCTAAGTGAAACAAGACTATAAAAATTACAAAAGGCGTTTGTTTCATTTATCAAAGATCACTTTATACACCTACAAATTAATAGCAGTCGAAAGAGCTGTCCTTTATATATACTCTATGCCTTTAAATATTAATTTGAAAGACTCTGTCCTCTTTCTTTAAGCCACGAAAGCATATCATTCTTTACACTAGTGGGAAAGAAATATGCCCATTAGATATTTATATTCCTCATTCTCTTCCTCCTCACTCTTTCTTTTTGTTCCTCCTATCATTTTAATTGTCACTTTACCATGTTCGAATGTTTCCATCTGTTTGTCATTGTTTCTGTCAGTGAGGAAAACGCAAGTTCTAGGGACTTGAATATAAGTCAACATAGATTTCTGTTTATTCGATGAGTTTATTTTATGCAGGTAGCTAAGAGTTAGAATTTAAAGAGATACTGCATTTCTCTTTGTTTCTTTTACCTGGCATGGGAATTTTTAAATACAACACTTTAATTCTTAATTCCTTGCATATTCCAGAGCTACCCTGAGAGAAAAAAAATTGAATTACATATAAAAGGACTTTCTCTTTTTTTGTAACACACTCAGATAATTAAAACCAGTAATATTGGGCATGGACTGAGACCATTTGTTTGTCTCTGAATTGACTCTGACCAGTTTAGTAAATGAACGTATAGGGAATACATTTTTTAAAAAATCAAATAAGATTTTTCTCTCCCACAAACTGTGAAAGATTTGAATATAGTTAGAGGCAGATCAGAAGATTTGCATTAAGGGGGCTATATTCATTATTCAAGAGGAAGAAGGAATAGATTGATGATTGTATATGATTTTTTTTTTTTAAACTAAAGCATCTAATGAGATCAAAGCAGTTGAGCAACAGACTTGTAAGCAGCCACTGATCACCAACAAGGACTCAATTTCAGACTGGAAGTTCTCTGTGCAAGTTGCCCCTCTGGTTGTGACTAGTCTCTTTCTGACAGGGTAGGGAGTCCCCTGTGCCAGCCCTTCCCACCCCGCTGCTTGCGGAGCTCATCCCTGAGCACCCAGGCCTGGGCAGCATAAGAACCCTTATGCATCCTTTGTGCATGTCCTAGTCCGTGGTGGCAAACCTTTTAGAGCTTTTTGTTGTTGTTGTTTTGTTTTGTTTTTTGGTAGTGGGGATTGAACCAGGTCCGAGGCAGGCAGCGGAACCACTGAGCTAAATCCCCAGCCCAAACCTTTGAGAGCTTTCAGTGATAACAAACAGCTCTCTCTCTGTAGTGCAAGGGCCATAGGTTCGCCACTGCTGTCCTAGTCCCCCTTTGTCACATGTCACAGCAAATTGTGATGCAAGTTTTATTGCCTAATGTTTAAGACATTCTATTCATTTCAGTTCCTGATTTCTCAGAATTCTTGACACACCTAATTTAGAGTGTGGAGTCAACCTGGGTTTAGAAGCAACCTCATTTCCATGGAATCTTGAATTTCAGCATCTAGTAAAGACTCTGGCACATTCAAGATGATCAAGATTGAGTAATGTCTAATAAGCCATACAAAAAAATCTAGACAAGAGCATGACAGATTTTTTTTTTTGGTACCAGGGATTGAACTTGGGTCCTTGTGCTTGCAAGGCAGGCCACTGAACCGCTGAGCTAAATCCCCGGCCAAGAGCATGACAGATTTAAATATTCCTTTCCTTCACAGACAGATTTTCATTTGTACTGAAAAGTTTTCACTGATGTGTTACATAAACACAGAGAGCGTGTGGAAAGGTCTAATGGCTAATGTTCAAAGTTGGAAGTGTTTGTTGAGAAGACTCTGGGGCCAGACTACCTGGAATTGAATCTTGAGTCCACCACTCACTGCCTGTCTGACATTGGGCAAGCAGCCTAACCTTCCTGCCCTTAGTTTCTTTGTTTCTAAACAGGAAATAATACTAGATCTATCTCTAAGAGTTATAAAGTTGGACAGATGTATTAACAAGTATGATATAGGATAATTGTATGCCTACTATTATTTATTAGCATAAGAGGAACATCTTCTAAAATATTTTGTATTCAAACCATGTTTTGTATTTTCTGGGTGGTTTAGTGTTTCCATGCGTTATCCTTTAAAAAGATCTTCATTCTTCTGCTTTTATTTTAAATCTGAGGGGCAGAAAAAAATTAGATTTATAAAGAGTAAAATAAAATTGCCCTTAAAATTAAAATAAATAGAGATTGAACATTCCTAATCCAAAAATCCAAAATCTAGATTACTTCAAACACTGAGACTTTTTGAGTGCCAACATGATCACACCAGCGGAAAATTACAAAGCTGACCTTTTATGATCGATCATGGTCAAGACACAGGTGCACTAAGATTACTGTATGAAATTAAATTCAATGTATATAAAATATATATGAATCATAAATGAATTTTCATCTTTAGACTCGAGTTGCCAACCCCAGCCCAAGCTCTGTTTCTCCACATGTTCATATATATACAGATATTTGTGTATATGCAATATTTTAAAATCTGAAATCAGAAACACTTGAAGCTCTGACTGTTTCAGATAAGGGATATTCCACCTGTGTTTATTTTCAAATAGTTAGCAGTCCTGACTTTGCCTGTCACATGCCATGAGCTATTGCTACTTTGGGCATATGAATGTCCAAACAAATGACTCATAATTGTGCTTTTACATGGGAAAGGTTTGATCTTTAGATGAAGTGGTGTGCATTTATATTGCAGTTAAAATACCAGTTTTTGGAAGAAGGCCTTTACATGCAGTTGTTCCAAGGGATCAATGAAGAAAATCCCATGCTCTATGAAGTACATGAAAATGTTTCCCGAAGTGTTTCCATGTAGATGGGCCAAAGAAATCTATGAAGGGTAATTTTAGGTAACTTGCTCTAAGCAACTATGTCACTAAGTGTTTGTTTTATTTAATCAAAATGTTAAGCGTGTTGAAATTATAGAAAAGATATATACTCTAAATCTTGAATTTCAGGTACAAAATGTCAATTTTGCAACAGCTGTGATATAAAGTAGAAGTAGCCATGTACTTACAAACCCTAAGTGTTGGGTGTGCACCTCTTCCTTGCCATTAGGCCTTACTGCCCTGAGCGTGTATGCACTGATCTGTTTTCACCATGTCAGACACTGTGCTCGAGCCTGGGGCCTCCAGGGAGAAATCGCTCTGGGCATGTGTGGTGTGTTGGTGGGGGGAAGTGCAAGGCTTGAGTAAGTTCTCAGCTGTAGTTTTAAGATAGCATAGCTACCAGGTGACATTGGGACTAGAGCATCGTGGGTACACAGGTGGGGATTCACCATGCAATTGTTTATTTGTGTTGATTGTGGCAATATCTGGAAATATTACATTGCATGTGACAGCTAGCAGCCAGATTTCATGAAGCTTTCATTCTTAGAGCAGGTGTCCTGTATTACAGATAACAAGCGGAGTCACACTAAAATGTCAGATAAGAGGTTGAGTGTTGTGAAGAAAAGCTGAAGTGGGTTAACAGTGAGCATGAGAGGGTTGCTGTTTTAGGTGCTGCTACTTAAAAGGTCTGACTGCAGTTATGGAGGGAGCTCTGTAAGCATGTTCTAGGTATCTGGAGCAGAAAATGCAGTAGCTTCTGAGGCAGGTGGGTGCTGAGTGGACACAAGCATCTGAGTGTCCAGTGCATGGAAAGATCGAAGAGAGGGGCAGAAGATGAAGGTATGAGCTGAACCATGCAGACTTTGATTTTATTCTGTTTATGTTATGAGCTTCTGGAACACCTTAAGCAGGTCAGCACTGATTTTATTTTAAAGTAATGTCTTCGCTGCTACATTGAGAAGATACGACTGGGAGCAAGGACCAGTTAGGAGGCTGTTGCAGAAGTAGAGGAAAACGATAGATTGGGCAAGGTGGATGTAGTCAAAAGTAGTTGTAAATTGAGATTTTTCTCCCCAAAATAGCAAATGTAAAAAGTGGCATCGTGTGGGAGGTCAACAGTTCAGGCTTTGTGGGGCCCGAATTTTGAGGTGTGAAGTCGATGGTTATTAGGGAGAGACTATAGGCATTTAAGTAGGTGAGTGGTGAGGCACATTTGCATTTTAGTCATTCAACTTTGCTGCGCTGGATGCCGGTATAGCAGAGGCTGTTTTACTTATCGAATATTCTGTGAGCCTTTTTACTTTACCAGCTTCCCTCATTGGGGTGGGGCTAGTGAGAGCTGAGAGCAAGTGGACTGCATGACCCTAACCCTGTATTCCTTGGTGATGACTGTGGTGAGCACGTGATAAGACAGTAAAGTCACTGGTGGAAGGAAGCTTGCTGGTTCCCCGAGTTTGCATTTGCACAGTCACTGTTCTGGAGGGTGGT